GTCGTACGGCATGGGCGTGGCTGGCCCCAAGAAGAGAGACCGAAACACATGCCCCGCCCCTGCCCCCGCCCCCGCGCCGCCAACCATTGGGGTCGGCCGCAAGGCACCGCCGGCGGCACCAGGGGCGCCGGGCGCGGCTGCGGCAGCTGGGGTGGCGTGCTGCTGGAAGGGCGCCGGGGGGGCCTGCACTGGGGCACCAGGCGGCTCTCGGTTGACCCCCTGGCCGATTGGCGTCTGCTCGAAACTCGCCGCCTGCCCAGGCTGCTGCTGCTGCTGCTGCTGCTGCTGCTGCTGCTGCTGCCAGCCCGAGGGTCCCCCCTTCTCTGTCTGTGTGCCCTCCTCCACTGCTGTCTGCGTCGCCGCCGCCCTCGTCGCCGCCGGCCCCGCAGCTGCGCGCTCGCGGCGTAGCGCCGCCGCGGGCCTGCGCCTCGTCCCCGCGCTCCCGCTCCGCAGCTGGCCCCGGCCCGTGCGTCGCGCGGCGTTCGTTCCACTGTCAGGGCTCCCCTCCCGCCCTCGACCCGTTCGTTGCTGCTCCTCTCGCTGCCGCTGCCCGCGCCGCGGGGCAGGCGACGCCGACGCTCCGTCCACGCGCGCCGCCGCTGCCGCCGCAGTGGCAACAGCAGCGGCAGCCGCCTGGTCGCCGCCACCACTACCATGCGTGCGGTGGAGCGTGGGGAAATCAAACCGCATGCGGACGCGGCGCGCCGCGGCGGGCGTGAGGCCCTGCCCGCAGCGGTTGCAGAGATCACCTGCGGACGGCTCCCTGATGTCCAGGCTGCTCGTATCCCCGCCGGGGCGCTTGCCGGAGCTCGCACCGCCCCCGCTGGCGTCCCCTCCGCTGCTAATCAGCCCGCGCCTGCGGCCGACGCCGCGGCGCGGGCTGTCGCTGCTGGCGCTGGTGCTGCTCGCTGTCGGCAATCCCGGCCCGGCGCCGCCTGTCGCAGCCGGGGCCGCGCGCGGCGGACCGGCTCCCGCGGGCGCGGGCGCGGCAGCTGCGGAGAGGGCGAGCCTGCTGCCGCGCTGCCCGGCTTGAGGTGGGATCGCGGCGGCGGCCGCGGCGGCGGGGGCTCGTGACGGGGGGGAGCGCCATCCTGCGCGGTGCGGCCTGGCGGGCGACGTCTGAGTCTCGCGCGAGAACCCCTGTCTGAGCCGCGCCGGCTGCGGCTGCGCCCAAGGTCCGACGCTCGCCTCGCCCCCGCCTCCGCTGCCATCCCTTACCCCGCCTGCTGGCCCGTCAGGGCTGGGGCTGCGCGATCCGCCCGGCACACCCCGGGCGCCCTCGCCCTGCTGCCTCTGCGCTGCCGCCGGCCAGACCGACTGCGGGCGCTCTGGCGAGCTGCGCCCATGGCGCCGCGCTCCCTCGGCCGACTCCAGGCGCCTTTTCGCACCCGCGGGCTGTTGTGGCGGCTGCCCCACCTGCCGGAGCACGGCCAGCACGCCGGCTATGGTGTCATGGCCGCGCCCTTGTCCTGCAGCTGCCGCCGCAGCAGTGGCGCCTGAGGATGCCATGCGGCCCATCCGTGCATCGGAGCTGCTCGCGTGGGGCCCGTCCTCAAAACCTGAGGGCTTGTGCCGTTGCTGCTGCTGCTGCTGCTGCTGCTGCTGCTGCTGCTGCTGCTCCTGCTGCTGTTGCTGCTCCTGCTGCTCCTGACCGTGCTGCTGATGTTGCTCCTGGTGCTGCTCCTGCTGCTGCTGCTCCTGCTGTTGCTGCTGCTGCTGTTGTGGCTCATCGAGCAGCTCGCCCGGCTCCTGCCCTTCCTGCCACTGCATCAACTCCCGTAGTTCGTTCTGATTTTGCTGAATCAGCCAGCTCAGTCGCGACCTCGGCCGAGCGGGCCCCGCCGAGCCCACCGGCGACCCAGCTGCCGCCCCGCCGCCGCCGCGGGCCTCCGCGCTCGCCCGCCCGTCGTCGACGCCGCTCGCCGGCTCGGAGCCCTCGCCGTTGTCGCGCCACAGAGCCGTGTTGGTGCGCACGTCGCGTACCGCGACCTGCGGGTCTTCGGCACACCCTGGGGACTGCATCAGGTGCAACAGCTGGCGCTTGTTGCGCTCTATCAACCAGCTGAGGCGGGAGGAGGGGCTGCGTGGCGACCCGCCGTCGCCACTGTCGCCGCCGCGGCCGCCGTCGCCGCCCGCGGCCGCCGCGGAGCGCCTGGCTGGTCGTGCTGGCTTGGGTGATGGGCCGCGCTGTGGGGCGTCGGGGGGGCGCCGCTGCACTGCCGGCGTGCTGGCGGATGCACCAAAGTCTGCATGGCGGCGATCAAGTCAAATCCCCATAGCGGCGAAAGGTGGGGTTTGCACTGGGCATGCCACAAGCATTTAGTCCCTCGCAGGCACAGGCGTAAGCAGACATACGATCGATCTGCGCTAACCCACATGGCACGGGCGAGAGGCTCGTGGCACTCAGGGCGGTGTTGCGAGACAGGCAACACACCTGCTTGGAACTGCTCCAGAGCATAGTCAAGGAAAGGGATGCCCGGCAGGGCAAAGGAGCAGCTCGGGGTGGGCGAGTCGCCCTGAACCACACGAGCATGTGCAGATAGGGAATGGGGATGCTCTGGGCGGCGGGCTTTGAACAGCAAACCGGGGTCTGCTGTGACAGAGGGGGGGGGGGGGCGCCCCACAGCCAACAACGGACGCGGCTGGTACAGCCCAGACTCACCCTTGACGCCTTGGCGCTCCGCTGCCCATCAAACCAGGCCTGGCATTCGGCCTCGAGCTGCAGCGGCACGCCACCAGGCAGGTTGCCCAGGGCTGGCGGGCGGGATTCGTCTGCCCCTGTCGCTGCATTCTGCGCTCGAGCGTCGATATCAAACGCTGGCACATCGCCGCAACCGGGGCTGAGCGCAAGCTCTATATCCGGGAAGTTGATTCTATCTATTGCTGCGTCGAACGGGTTCCATGGCTGCTGGGCGCCGGCCATGCCGTGTGTCAACACTCAGATCGTTCCCAACGACAGGCATCCAACGTCAACAAACCCAGACCTATTCTATTACAACGCGTGCGACCATCAGGGTGAGAGCGGAACTTATTAGCCCCAGGACGTCGGAGTTGTTGACCTTTCAGCTCCAACCAGCTTTGAAGTTGTGTACGGTATACAAACGCACGTCGTTTTCAATTGCGATGCAAACCGTGTGCACATTTCAAAAAATTTCACAAGCAACAACCCGGCTTTTGCACATCGCACATGCCCGACCTGTATGGGGCAAGTGCTGACCGCAGTGCGCCGCTCGGTGATGCGGCATGTGCACCCGCTTCGCTGCAGCGAGCAGTGGCTTGGCATAGCACGCTTCCGGCCACCTGACAGCGGCTGTAAGGACGTTGGTGGCGTAACCCCCAGCGGTGAGGCGTGCGATCGCGGCGCTCCAGCAGGCTGGACTCCTCTGCGCTCGGCACCAAAAAGCACTCATTGGGAAACAGCCAACGCCGCCACTGTCACCCACTCTTGCTGCAAGTTCGCAGGCAACCCCCTGCCGCCCACACTGCACCGACGCCTCGTGACGGGCCAGCAGGGGCAGCTGCGCGCAGACGGGCGCTGCATTTTCATTGGGGACGTTCACGGGTGCGTGTGCGAGCTGCGCGCATTGCTGGCAGAGGTGGGGTTCTGCCAACCCAGGGACAATCTTTTCGTGACTGGAGACCTCGTTACCAAGGGGCCGTGCTCCCAAGAGGTGGGTTTTAAGTGCCACAGATCGGGGCGAGGCCGCTTGCTGCATGCCGCTTTGCTCCTGTCGTGCTGCTTGGGGTCCGGATGTTCAGCAGCTGGCTTTGCAATCCTGGGACACGTGATCTGGAAGCCACCGCAACAAATCAGCATGCAGATTGCATTTGATGCATATTTCTGGACATCTCTCCTGGGAAATGCCTCCGTGGCCTAGGTGGTGCAGCTGCTGCGGGAGCTGGGGGCGTTCTGCGTGAGGGGCAACAACGACGACGAGGCGCTCGCCGCCCACGCGGCGTGGCGGCGGGGCGAGGCTGTCGCCGACAAGTTTGACTTTGTGGGCGACCTGCAGGATGAGGACACCGCCTTCCTGGCGCGCCTGCCATTCAGCATCAGCCTGCCGGAGTACTCGGTGGTCGTGGTGCACGCGGGTAGGCACCCCTGCGCACCGAAAAGGAAGCAGTAATGCTTGCCTGCGATGCCGCGCCAGCCGGCACGGCCCCGTCAGTGTGACCCCGCACCCTGACCGTGCCGGGCGCCCAAGCCGCGCCTGCCCCTCTCGCACCTTGCCGTCCCCCCCCCCCCAGGACTGGTGCCGGCCACGCCGCTGTGGCGACAGCCGCTTCAAGCCATCACCACGATGCGGGTGCTGCTGCGGGACGCGGGCGGAGGGTGGGTAGCGGCGCCCACTGACGGGGCCCGCGACGCCGCCACTACTGCTGTGGCGTGGGGACGGACTGGCACTGTGCGTGAGCCTGCGCCGCGACCCGGTCAAGCCGCCTGCTACTGCGGCCCCGACCTCGTCGTGAAAGCCCTGCTTGGCATGCCTGTGTCAGGTAGCGCCGTCTCATCCCCCCTGGCAACAGGTGGCTGCCCTGGGAGGGCAAGAAGACCCCGACGCCCCTGGGCGCGAGGCCCTGGGCGCAGTGCTGGCCCGGCCCGCCCCACGTCATTTTTGGCCACGACTCCAAGCGCAGCCTCCAGCGCGAGTCCTGCGCGACCGGCCTCGACACAGCATGCGCGTCCGGCGGCGCCCTGACGGCGGCCGTGCTGCCCCCGCTGGACGTGCTGCGGCAGTCGGAGGCGTTCAGGCGCAAGGTGGACGCGCGGGAGCCGGTGACACTGGACGATCTGGGGGGCGTGCTGGTGAGCGTGCCCTCGGCGCAGCCCTACTCACCGCCTTGAGGGCGCAGGGAGATAAGGTTTGTGCCTGCATGCTTGGGCAACCGCTGCGGTTTTGTGTCGTTTCGCGGCCAGCGTGTACAATTTGGCTGAGTGGGCATTCTGTTTGTCGGAGTAGAGGACATAATATGCCTGCATGCTGCGCGTGGCACCTCATGTGCAAGTGGCTCTCCTCGCATGTCCGCCCGATGTGACAAAGTGGCTGGCACGCGATTGCCTTGATCGCTGTGTTTCCTTGTGTTCCCTTCTGTCCCACGCACACACACACACACACACGCATGTACACACACACACAATCAATCATTCACTTTGACCATGGCTCAGAATCAACATGTCACGTCTGTGGCTGAGCGGACATACGGCCTCGCGTGCAGTGTGCCGGTGACCTCATCCTCGCGTTATCTGCAGCCCTGTATCCGCCGATGCCTCATCAACAGCCACGTGCTGACAATCTCATGACATACCCCCGCTTAAAAATCGGTGAGCAGAACAGTAGGACAGCCGCGCGACGGTCTGTTGTCAACAGCCAGGCTCGGACGGCGGCCGTGGCCGCTCGGTGGCACTCGAGTGACGGCTAGTTGCACACCGTTAGCCTTCCTGACGTGCTGCTTCGTACAACGATATTATCACGGTTGACATCGCAATCAACGGCCTGCAGCAGTTGTTTCCTCATCATCGGAGGACGTGTAAGATCGCTTGTGCGCCCCGGTTGATTTTATACTCCATATCGGAGGCCACACACCGCGCAATAATTCGAAATGGGGAAGAAGCGCGCGGCACCGCAGCAGCCAGGTGAGCATGCAGTGTGTGCGCACTGCAACTGAAGGGATATCACGCTCAGGGTTATTTGCATGCGACGTGCATGGTATCCCTTAACCAAGGGAACGCAAGGAACCCCTGCTCGTGGGGACTGCCGCCGCCACCAAGGTCGCAAGCGCAGCCGCCGCTGCCTCGCGCGCCGCTGTTTGGGGTCGCACGCGTTGATTTCACGCTGCTTGTCACCCCGCCTGCTTGCGTAGAAGCGGAGGATCCTGAGATGCTTCAAGGTCCAGCGCAGAGCGGCTCTGATGCCGAGGACGGCGGCAGCGACGAGGGCAATGAATATGGCATGGGCGGCACGGGCAGCGAGGACGACGGTGACAGCGGCGGCAGCGAACGGGACGGGGAGGGTGCTTCAGATGAGGAGCGGCAGGAGGAGGACAAAGTGGCGCTAGCTGGGGCGGGTGCCGGCCCCGGTATCCTTGGGCTGGCCAGCGGCAGCGACGACGAGGACGATGGTGAGTAGCGAGAGCCCTGCCACTCCCAGCTTCCTGTCAATTCTAGGCAGCACCGGCAGCGGTGATGGTGTCTGGAAGCAGAGTGTGCCTGGAATACGGCCCAGCCGTGGCTGTCATCCGTCAATCATGCCAGTCCCAGGCCAGTGCTCAACAGTCGTGGTTGGTGCAGCAGCTTGATTAGACACGCCCCAGCACTCCCTCTTGGCTCAACCCTGGCGCCTGCTTGCACCCACGCGCGCGCCCATCTGCACGCAGGTGATATTGATGATGACCTGCCGTCTGACAGGGGCGAGGACGACGACGCTGACGAGGACGGCGCCCCCCGCGTGCCCGGCAGCAGCGACGCGGACGATGAGGCCGGCGGCAGCGGCAGCGGCGGCGACTCCGATGGCGGCGGCGGCGGGGGCGGTGGGCGCGCTGTGCAGCACGCGAGCTTTCTGTCGGGGGAGAAGGGGGCGTCCTTTGCAAAGGCGTTTTCGAAAATCTTGGGGAAGCCGGCCAAGGGCGCAGCCAAAGCGGCCGAGGGCAAGGGCGGCCTAATCCTGGCCGAGAGCGCGGGCGTGCAGAAGCGGCGCAAAGAGGAGGAGGACGACGCGGAGGCGCGGCACGAGGCGAAGAAGCAGCGGCTGGCGATGAAGAAGAGGGGACACCTGGTGCGCCTGGGGGCCCTTGCTGCCTTGTAAGAGCGTGCTGCGGGGAGGCAGCGAGTGCTTCCTCCCCATGGAGGCAGCCCTGCAGCCCTGTTGTGCATGCTTTTGGGCAGCTTTTGTAGTGTCGGCAACCCTGGGCTGCTTAGCGCAGTGCTGCGGGGTGTAGCATAGCACGGCGAATGTCCCCAACATAGTTGTGCGTTCGCTCGCAACGTGAGTTGGCTGCAAACTCACTGCAGTGCCTGCACCTCCGTGCCCGCCGCGCGCCAGCCTGTCCCGCGCAAGGGAGAGGACCCCGCCCACGACGTGCGGGAGAAGGCGCTGCAGCGCCTCGCCACCCGCGGCGTGGTGCTGCTGTTTAACGCGGTCAACAAGGCGCAGAAGCAGAAAGCCGAGGCCGAGGCCGCCGGCGGCGTGTCCAAGCGCAAGGCGGCGGCGGCGAAGCTGGGCAAGGCCAGCTTTCTTGCAGAACTCAAGCAGGCGGCCACAGTCGGCGTGCCCGTGGAGGCCGCGGGCGCACAGCAGCAGCAGAAGCAGGGGAAGGGGAAGGGGCAGCAGCAGCAACAGCAGCAGCAGCGCGACCCTGGCGGCGGCGCTGGCTGGGAGGTGCTGGGGGAGGGGTTCCCTGGGCTGACGGGCGGCGCCAAGATGAAGGACTGGGACCGGCGCGGCAGCGGCAGCGAGGACGAGATCGCGGAGCAGCCGCGGCTGGCAGAGGCGGAGGTCAGCAGCGACGAGGGCGACGGCTGGTGACGGCGCGTGGCCACGTGGCTTGCACGCGTCTCAGGGCACTTCGACTTGGGCAAGAGCCGGTACTCGCCCCCAGTAACAGAGCCTGTGCAAACACCTCTTGGCACAGTGGATTACAGCCATGCAGGCCAGGCTGATTCACAGACAGTGTCATCACTCGCCCTCGCCCGCCGCCGCCTCGCCGCCGCCCGCTCCTGAATCTTGCTGCGCGCTCTTCCGCCGCAAGCGCTCCAGCCGGTCGCTCTCCGCCTTGTCGGTGCGCTGCATCTTGCGCGCCTCAACCTGAGACGGGGAGAGGGGCGGCCACAGCAGGGCTGAGCAGGGTTCTCACGACCCAGGGTCCTCTGGCAAACAGCCGGCACCAGAGATGTGGGTGATGCAGAAACAGCATGACACAGAAGTAGGACAACGTAAGCGGCCACTCATTCGGCCACTCATTCGGCCACTAATTTGGCCAAATGGCAGGGGCCATGCTGATGGCGCAATGGCCATTGCGTTTCGTGAGGCGACAGGCCAACAGTTGGTGGCTGCGCCCTTGAAAAAAACCTCCACCCCTCACCTGCTTGGGGTCGTACTGCCGCTTCCTCAGCTGCATGGTGTAAGTGGTGCCCGCCGCCACCGCCTCGGCCGCCACAGCCTCCTCCTCGGCGACGCGGCGCTCAAGGAACCCGCGCACGGCGTCGGGCAGCACGTCAGCGGTGACAAAGGCGTAGGACACTGCTTATCGGGGATTGGGTGGCGTGATGGAGCCCCAGATGAGAATCTTAAATGACCCCACGTTGGAATTATGAGCATTCTTCACCAGAAACCACAGCAGTGCACATCAATCATCTCATGCGGCTGTACACCCGATGGGGGCCCATAATCATGCGGCCCCAAACCCACCGCTGCCGTCGCCGCCGCCTTCCGCCGCCGGTGCCGCCACCGCGACGTGCGCCGACTGCGTGACCGCCACAGGCGGCCCCCCGACCAGCCATAGCCGCCCAGCCTCGTCGAACGCCGCCCTGCAGGGCGCCAGCACGTCGGGCGGCAGCGCCAGCCGCTGCAGGCAGGGGCCCAGGGAGCGCGCCGCCGCATCGACCCGCACCAGCTGCACTTCGCGCCGCCCCTCCACCAAGACCGCCGCCAGGTCGCCGCCGATCGACAGCGCGATCGCGACGACCGGCAGCAGCGCTTTGCGTCCTTTCTGCTGATGCTGCTGCTGGTCCCGCGGCTCCTGCTCCTGCTGCTGCCCGTCGTCAGCGCCGTCTTGGGCAGCCTCGTCGCCCGCGGCGCCCTCGCCGCCGCTGTCGCCGCCCTGCTCAAGAGCGCTGCGCGACGCGCCCGCTTGCTCGGCGGCGCCCTCCTCCTGCTCACCGCAGCCGACCAACTCCGCTGCCGCCGCAGCTTCGGCCTCCTCCTCTGTCGCTGCCGTGTAGCTGCTCAGCAGCTGCCCGCTGACCGGGTCCCACAGCTTCACGCACCCGTCCCCGCCGCCAGTGAGCAGCAGCGCGCCGCCAGCTGGCCCGTCGCCCGCCGCCCCGGGCGGCGCCAGCACCGCCGCCGCGCAGGCGACAAACTCGCGGTGGCCCAGGCAGTAGCTCTGGATCTCAAAGGACCCGAGCAGCGGCTGCGGCTGCTGCAGCACGCTGACTCTGACCTTGGCGTCGCGGTCGGTTGTGACGACCAGCTGGTCGCCCGGCAGCGCGACAACGGCGGTGACGATTGACTGCATGTGGCCGAGGAGCGGCGCGGGGTCCTCCACGTGCCGCTGCTGCTGCGGCTGCTCGTGCTGCTGCCGCTGCTGCTGCTGCTGCTGCTCCTGGGGCCTGGTGGTGCCGATGCACACGTCTCCAAACTTGTCGCCGTAAATGACGTGGCGGCTGTCGTTGGTGAGCGCCGCCGCACTGGTCTTTTTGGCTGACACTCTGCGGGCCAGAGCCAGAGGTGATGTCTTGGGTGATGAGGGTGGCGGGACGAGAGTGCCGCACACACATGAAGCTGCCGCGACAACGCTGAAAAGGAGGCAAGCAAGTCTGTGCACGTTCAGACACCAGGAAAACACAGCGCCAGCTGCGTACTCACAGTGTCCTGATGCACTGCCAGGTAGCTGTGTCCCACAGCTTGACCTGCTTGTCGTCGCCCGCCGTCAGCAGCAGTGTACCGTCCTTCGAGAACGCCAGCACGCGTATGGGCTGTGTGTGGTCCCCATTGCTGCATATCTCGGCTTGTTTACTGCGAGAACACAAACAAGATTGCTGAGGCGCGCAGTAAAGGACGGGGTGACCGATCTGGAGAACACCTCACCTCCAATCAAGGACCCGGAAAGAGTTTCCGACAGCTACGGCTGCGTGATTGCCATGCAGCGCCAGCAGCCGCACTACGGGCTCCAATTCATGTCCGTTCTCTGTCGCAAGGCCCAGGGCATGCTGTTTCTGTGCCTTTTCCTTGAACTGCTTCTTTTTCCCGCCTCCCATGCCTGCTGGGCCCCCTCAAGCTGATCTGTGGCTGGCCAAAGCGGCGGCAGAGAGTCAGCAGTGAGGCAAAGCGCAACACAGAGTGCTGCGAGCAAAGGGGCAAGGTGCAAGATTTCTATGCACTTGAACTCTCTGCTGGCTTACATGATAACAATGCCCTCTGCGCGCAGCACGCTGCCTGTTCGAGCGCCGGCAGATGCACAGCACGCCCTGCGGACTCCCCAGCGTCACCCTAGCGGCGCCTGCAGCCCCTTTGCGCGCAGCAGCCGCGGCAGGTCGCTCGCCGCCGCCCCCATGTACTCCCCCAGCCGCAGCGCTGCCCGCGCAGCGCCAAGGTTGGCGCGCGCCGCGTCGAGCAGCCGCGCGTCCAGCGAGCGCGCTCGCTCGAAGAACCGCTCAAAGCACGACACCGCTGCCTGCAGCTCGCCGCGCTGGTAGTGCAGGCAGCCCAGCTGGCAGCACGCCAGCGCGGGGCCGCGGCCGTCCTGCAATTGGGATGGCCGGACGATGTCACACCCTCAGCCGCAGGCGCGGCCCATCGATTGCAGCAACTACCCCACCACGCGTCTCCTAGAAGCGGGGCCTCTGGAAGTCCCAGAGGCCTCGTCCGCCGCTGCCCAGGCGCAGCGCAGCACACAGCGCGGCTCGTCCCGCGCAGGCCGCTCACCCCATCGCGCGCGGCGTCCTGCAGCCGGAGGTAATCATCCAAGGCCGCCACTGCGCCGCCCAGGTCCCCAAGCCGCCGCAGGCACTGAGCGTACGCACGACAAGCCGCGCTCTCCGCCGCCGCATCGCCGGCCTGGTGCGAGCGGCGCATTGTGGCGGGGTGACGTCCGTTGTGTGCTGGATTTGCTCAAGTCTTTGGATGCATGCATTGCTCGAGTCTTTTTATGCATGCACGAAGCTCTGCTTTGCCCACAGCTCTACCCTGCGTGCACAGCCAAGCCTCCTGATCTCTTCCCCTCAGGCTGTCGGGGCCCGATGCAACTGACCGCACCCACCTCCTTGCTCCGCTGCACATACACTGCCTGGTGCTGACTGGCCTCCCGCCACCTGCCCTGTGCCGCGCACAGCAGCCCCAGCCGGTGGCTCGCCGCGCCGGCCGCCGCCGCGTCCCCGCATTGCTCTGCGGCGCCGAAGCATTTTTCCAGGAAGGCCGCCGCGGCCCCCAGGTCGCCCGCTTTCTCGCGCTGCTCCGCCTGGGGTCAAGGGCACGGACGTGCAGGTGGGCCGTGCGCTGGCAAGCGCAGGTGCACGGCAGGTGCTTTCCGGCTGCTGCCACACGACAACCCCGTTCGCAGTAGCCAGGCCAATATCCTTTGCTTCCTCCTGGCCCGTCATGAAACCCTCGACTGCATACCCAGCAATTGGGCGCCATCCACAGCTCGCTGGCTGCTGCCAGGCCCGTGCACACACCTGCTGCGCATACACGTGCACCAGTGCCCGCCGCGCCTCGTCCACCGCGGCCACCGCACCGCCGCCGTGCGCCCCAGCCCTTGCGGCCGCCCCTGCCGCCTCTGCGGCCGCCTCCGCTGCTATTGCGAGCTCCAAGCACCGCTCGTGGCAATCCACTGCGGCATCGGGGCGGCGCAGCCGCTCGTGGACGAGTCCCAGAGCGCAGCACGACTCGAGCTCGCCTTCCAGCCACCCGCTCGCGCTTGCGACCTGGGCAGGCCCGTGTGGATAGGAGCCACTGATCAGTCACGCGTCTCGCGAACACACGCACGCACGCACGCACGCATGCACACGCACACACACACACACACACACACACACACACACACACACACACACACACACACACACACACACAC